AATGGGCCTCCCTTGCTTTTGTGTGTTTCAAAATACAGTTCATATTACCCAGGGGGCAAAGAAATGTTTTCTGCTCAACTAAAGTTGTTTCCATAACCCATTGTTGCCAGGGAGCCCAAACTTTCAGGTTGGCCCCCACCTAGTGAAGAGACACCAAAAGGTGGCATGGGGGTTGGAGCCCCCCAGCCTTGTGGCTGTGGGGTCCACTCAACATCCCCTTCTTGCCCTGTCCCTGCCCTCGCTGCAGCCTGACTGGACTCAGATGCCCTGGAGGCTGAGGCCCAACTGGGCAGATCATGGGGCAAGGAGGCTCTGAGCCGGGCCCTTGGAGGGATGAGCTCACTGCTCGAGATGGTGAGGACACGCATGGTGATGTAACCAGGGACTTTAGCTCACAGTGGAAACATGGGGCTCGCTTTACAGTCAGGGCTGCCCGGAGTCTGTTCCTGGCTGGCGCGGCCGCAGCCTCGCCTCCTCTGCTCCCTGCTCTTGTCACAGTTCCCCAGCGTGCCCTCTGCTTTCCACGCCACACTCTGCTGTCGCGGTTCCTTTGTCAGCATGCCCTCCCCGCCCACCTCTTGTTTGTTTGCTCACTCGTCCCCTTACTCATCCAGCAGATTTTTATTAAGTACCTACTATGTGCCAGGCACTGTCTTAGGTGGTAGAGATACAGAAGTGAAGGAGAGATGATGACGCACATGGGGCATAAGCAGAGGAGGGGAGACAGAGAAGGGAACAGTTGGTTCCAGTATCGGGATTTGTGCTGTGGAAGGGAAGTGAAGACACTGAACCCACATTTTCTGAAATTCCACCCCCCTCACAGCCATTTCAAATGCCTCTTATGCCATAAAGCCTTCCCTGAATCCTCAGCCAGAGGTGCCTGTTCCCTTCTCTGTACCCTGAGCCCTTAGCGCATTGCTTCATTCATTCACCTATAAATACTTAATGAGTGTTGACTCCATACCAGGCACTATTCTAGGAACTGGGGACATAGCAGCGAATAACACAGACAAGTCATGGAGCTCTTCTTTCCCCAGGGAGTTGGAGTAGATGGATGGAAACTCATTGGGGTATAATCATTCAGGCAGCAACACATTGTTGTTCAGTTGCTTAGTTGTGTCTGACTCTTTGTGACCCCATGGACTGCAGCACGCCAGGCTTCCCTGTTCTTCACTATCTCCCAGAGTTTGCTCAGACTCTTAAGAGTCTTCTCCAGCACCACAATTCAAAAGCATCAGTTCTTTGGTGCTCAGCCTTCTTTATAGTTCAACTCTCACACCATACATGACTACTGGAAAAACCATAGCATTGACTATATGGACCTTTGTCGGCAAAGTGATGTCTCTGCTTTTTAATATGTTGTTTATGTTTGTCATAGCTTTTCTTCCAAGGAGCAAGCATCTTTCAATTTTGTGGCTGCAGTCACCATCTGCAGTGATTTTGGAGCCTAAGAAAATAAAATCTGTCACTGTTTCCACCTTTCCTCCATCTATTTGCCATGAAGTGATGGGACCAGATGCCATGATCTTAGTTTTTTGAATGTTGAGTTTTAAGCCAACTTTTTCACTCTCCTCTTTCTCCCTCATCAAGAGGCTCTTTAGTTCCTCTTTGCTTTCTGTCATTAGAGTGGTATCATCTGCATATCTAAGGTTGTTCATATTTCTCCCTGCAATCTTGATTCCAGCTTGTGATTCATTCAGCCCAGCATTTCACATGATGTACTCTGCATGTAAGTTAAATAAGCAGGGTGGCAATATACAGCCTCGATGTCCTTTTCCAACTTTGAACCAGTCCATTGTTCCATGTCCGGTTCTAACTGTTGCTCCATGTCCTGCATACAGATTTCTCAGGAGACAAATAAGGTGGTCTGGTATTCCCATCTCCTTAAGAATTTTTCACTGTTGTGATCCACACAGCAGGCTTTAGTGTAGTCAGTGAAACAGACATAGGGTTTTTTTTTTAATTCCCTTGCTTTTTCTATGATTCAGTGGATGTTGGCAATTTGATCTCTGGTTCCTCTGCCTTTTCTAAATCCAGCTTGAACGTCTGGATGTTCTCGGCTCACGTGCTGTTGAAGCCTAGTTTAAAGTATTTTGAGCATTACCTTGCTAGCATGTGAAATGAGTGCAATTGTGCGGTAGTTTAAACGTTCTTTGGCATTGCCTTTCTTTGGGATTGGAATAAAAACTGACCTTTTCCAGTCCTGTGGCCACTATTCTATGAAGAATATGAAGAAAAAGAAACAGTAAGAGAGATAAGAATCACCCGGCGGTGAGAGTCATTATTGTATACAGGTGGTAGGGAAGGTCTCTCCATGGAGGTAATGTGCGGACAAAGGCCGGAGGAATCAAGATGTGATGCTCATGTGATGCTTGAGGCCAGCCAGCAGGGGCGTATGACTGGGGAACTGCAAGCAAGGTAGAGAGTGGGAGGAGGCGATATGGCCTAGATCATGAGGGCTTTCATGAGATGGGAGCTAGTGGAGTGTTTTGAGCAGAGAAGTGCTATCACCTGACCTTATTTACTTCTTCTTAAAAGGCTCACTCTGGCTGCTGTACTGAGAATGAGAAGAAAGGCCAGGGTGGAACTAGTGAGATAAGCAAGGAGGTTGTTGAGAAATTGAGGTGTAAGATGATGCTGATGGAGCAGGTTGGTGGCAGGAAGTGATCAGATTCTGAATGTATTCTGGAGGGAGGACCTGTGGAACCATCTGATAGAGTGGATGTGAGGAAAATAAAAGAATAAAGTATTACCTCCAGGTTTTTGGCTTGTGCCAAATTAGAAGGATAAAGTTGCCATTTACTGAGGTAAGTGGGACTCAGCTTGGTGAGGGGAATAAGGAGCTTGGCTTGGGACTAGGTAAGTGTGATACCCATGAGACCTCCAAGTGGAGATGTCAGGTTCGCAGTCAAAAATAAGAACCAGGAGTTCAGGGGAGGTCTGGGCTAGAGATACAAATTTGGGAGTTAGGAAGATATAGTTATTTAAAGGCTGCAGGACAGGATTAGATCCCCTTGGTTATATATAGAGAGAATGGAAAATGGTTCTGAGGCCTGAGTCCTGGCCCATCTAACACTTATAGGCCTAGGTGGTGGGGAGAGGGCAGATGAAAGAGATATTAGAAAAAGTGGCCAGTAGAGTAGTACAGGCACTCAGAAGGAGGGGCATCCAAGAGCAAGCAAAGAAAAGTTTCAGGAAGGGAAGGTCAATGCTAAGAGATTTGGTGATATGTGAGTCACGGGTGACCTTGACAGGAGCAATTCCAGTACAGTGGTAGGTACAAAAGCCTGATCGGAGGAGGTAGGGTAAAGAGAGTGAGTACAGAAAGCTCTTTCAAACAATTTCTCTGTAAAGGAGAAAAGAGAGAAATGGGGGCAGGAGCCAGGGGAGGATGTGAGGTCAAAGAAAAGAAGGAAGACAGTACAAAGGCTTGTATGCTGATGGGAATGACCTAAGAGAGGAAAAGCCTGAAAATGCAGGAAAGGAGGAACAGCTGCTGGAGAGATGTCCTCGATGAGGCAGGAAGAGATGGGATCCAGTGAGGGTGTCTTAGGTAGACACTTGGGCAGTTTATCGAGACAGGAGGGAAGGCAGAGCACATGGGTGCCCAGTTGAAGGTGCATCCCTGCCTTGTGTGGAGACCTGTCTTTTCTATTGTACAGTAGGTTCCCTGAGAGCAGAGAGCTGCCAAGCTTCTGTATCTTCATAACCCTTGCTGGGCAGTCAGCACACACCTAATATATACATATATTTAAGGGACAAAGACCCTGATGCTGGAAAAGATTGAGGGCAGGAGGAGAAGGGGGTGACAGAGGATGAGATGGTTGGATGCCATTATTGACTCAATGGACATGAGTTTGAGCAAGCTCTGGGAGATAATGAAGGACAGGAAAGCCTGGTGTGTTGCAATCCATGGGGTTGCAAAGAGTTGGACATAACGTAGTGACTGAACAGCAACAATGTTAGTCTCTAATTTCTAATAACCATTGCAAATTAATTGAAGTCAGCTTAAGAAATGAAACAGAACTCCTTGGTAAGGCTTAGATGAACTTCTTATTGAATTCACAAGTAGGAGTGTGGCTGTGGCCAGGCAAGGAATGGAACCAGTATTTGGGAGGATATCAGAACCACCCTCTCTGTCTCCTTTTTTCATTCTATCCTGAACATCAACTTCATTTCCATCTCACTATAGCTTTGTTTGCTTCTCAGTCCATGTGGCAGAATATGGTTGCACCCCTTCCAAGTTATTTCCAGACCCAAGGATAGACTGTCTCTATGTTCTAGTTTCCAAATACTAGGTCAAAGAATTGAATTAGGTTAAGTGGTTATGTGTCCATTACTGGACCAATCAGCTAGGTGGTCAGGGAGGCAGGGACATGTGGCCCTCACAGCGAAGCTTTCTTTGTGAGTAAGGCTGAAAGTTGAGAGAGGACGGGATGGAAAAACACCTCAATCAGTTTCACAGCAGTGAGTAGGTGAGAAGGTAGGTGTGGATGGGTGGATAGATGGATGACAAATGGGTGGGTGGATGGATGGATGGATGTTTTAGCTGTGTCATCAAATAATACTAATAGCTCAGGAACCTGGAATGAAAGAAGGGTGCTCGGCATTGGTGCTGATGTTGGGTGTTGAGGAGAGACCTCTGAGAGTAGAGCTGTTATTACAGATGAGGATGTACAACAGGCCACTGAAGAGAGGAAGCTTATTACCCAGCTAAAGCTTTCTGGAAACTCCTTGCTTCCTTTCTCAGCAGCAGCCAGGAAATTTCTCCTCTATATTTGCCTTCCAGTTGCTGAAGGGGAACAGTTTTTGGCCTTGATAGGGCCTAGCTTCTAAATATAAGCTGAGCCATAGGGTAGCCCTCTTCCTCCTGCCAGCCTGGGGCAGGTGGACCAGTCCAGTCTCTTCAGGTGGTCTGGGAAAGCCATGGGATCCTCTTCTCTCTGCCCACTATTTTGGAACTGGTTTCCCTGCAACCCAATATGCTGCTTCCTTCTTAGGGTACCCAGAGCCAGAGGTGACCTGGTACAAGGATGACACAGAGCTGGACCGCTACTGTGGCTTGCCCAAGTATGAGATCATGCATCAGGGCAACCGTCACACCCTGCAGCTCTACAGGTGAGGGGCCCGGGGTCCGTTTTGCTCTGTTTGCCCTCCTGCAAGTCCTGTGACCCAAGTCCGGGTTGGGGGCAGGGTTCTGCTGCAGAGTTGAACCACCTGGTGAAGCATGTCTGGCTGCCAGTGTCTGGGATCTCCTAAGGCCAGGATAGGAGTATTTCTGACAGCCAGAGAGCTGAGCACAGCCAGAGGAGGTCCTGACCCATAGAAACATTTTCCATGAGGTCAGCTGCCAAAAAAAGCTCCCAAGTCACCCTTACCCTACACGGGCTGTGTGGGTCACCTGCTCATGAAGGGAGCCTCCTGGGCCCCAGATCTAATCCCTCCTAGAACAGCATGGCCTCGGTCAGCTCCCACCCTCTTGCCAGCCTCAGTGTCCTCAGCCGTGGTGAGGAGTCGGGGGAGGGGCACTTGAGGCAGGGCTGGCAGGGGCAGGACTCTGGGTGAGGGGATGGGGGGCTTTCACCTCCCACCTCATGCTCCTGCCTCTAGGTGTCGAGAGGAAGATGCCGCCATCTACCAGGCCTCTGCCCGGAATGCCAAGGGCATTGTGTCCTGCTCAGGGGTCTTGGAGGTGGGCACCATGACTGAATACAAGATCCACCAGCGCTGGTTTGCAAAGCTGAAGCGCAAGGCTGCAGCAAAGATGCGAGAAATCGAGCAGAGCTGGAAGCATGGGAAGGAGGCTGTGGGTGAGGCCGATGCCCTGCGCAAACTCAGCCCTGACCGCTTCCAGCGAAAGCGGCGGCTGAGTGGGGCCGAAGTGCCCGTCCCTTCAGCCCCTGCCCGGGAAGTCGAGGACAGACCCCTGGTGGCTTGGCAGGAGGGAGAGACCGAGCCTGGTCAGCACCCAGGTTTGGGCCTGATCAACAGTTTTGCTTCTGGAGAGGTGACTACCAATGGGGAGGCTGCCCCTGAGAATGGGGAGGATGGAGAGCATGGCCTGTTGACCTACATCTGTGAGGCCATGGAGCTGGGGCCTCAGAGAGCTCCCAAAAAGGAGTCTGGGGCCAAGAAAAAGAAGAAAGACGTGGAACCTAAGCAAGGAGTGCGGAAGCCAGAGGTGGAGAAGGCAGCTCAAAGCCATCGTGCCTCGGAAAACCGTTTCCCCAGTTCAGACAATCCTGACTCCCGTGGGACACAAGGGCCCCTGAACATGGAGCAGGTTCAGACCCGGCCCAGAGGCAGGGCTGCCCGGGGGCCTGGATCCCCTGGAGCAGATGGCACCAGGAAACCAGCCTCTGGTGCAGGCACTCCAGTCCAGGCCCAGAAGACCCAGGTCCCAGCCCCTGTCCCAGGCCCAGAGCCAGAAGTGTATTTCTCCCTGAAGGACATGTACCTGGAGAGCACCCGAGCAGATCAGCCCCAGATGGAGGCAGAGGCCCAGACCCCTCGGGGCAGGATACCTGGAGAGAGGCCCTCATGTCGAGAATCCAGCGAAGCTGGAGGTGAGAGGGGGCCTGCTGCCCCCAGCCAGCCTGTGCCCACAGCCCCCCAGCCAACCGGGCCCTTCAACAGGAAGAGGTTTGCCCCTCCGATGCTCAAAGGAGAGCCCACCGCCAGCAGCAAGCCTGATTCCTCCCCGAGTCAAGATCCGGAACCCGTGGCTCAGAGCTCGGGGAAGACTCCATCCCAGGCCTCTGCCCAAGCGCCCACACCCCCTGCACGTCGGAGACACAGCACCCGGGACAGCCCCCTGCAGGGGCGAGCAGGCCCCAGCACTCCAGGCAAGGTACGTGTGGGTGTTGGGACCTGGAGGCCGCTTGGGGCACTGACCTCATGGAAACTGTTGCTGTAACAGCTTGGCAGCCAGTGAGCAGTGGGATATTTATAGAAGGGGGTGGGGTGGGGTGCTAGCCAGGAGCAGGGACCACAGGCCTGGCCCCCGCCCCAGGCAGTCCCCAGCTGCCAGGTATGTGGGCAGCACAGCCTGACTGTGACCATCTCCTCCAATAGATAGCAGGGACATTCACTGCCAGGTGATGATGTCCCAGAGCGAGGTGGAGGAGGAGGATGTTCTTTGGGGAGGAAAAGAAGGGGGAGACTGAGGAGCAGTCTATGGTGGGCAGTGGGTTTTCACCTGGATGCTTATTAGAAGACTTAAAACATATCCAACGTCCAGAAAATTCTGGCTTAATCTGGGTTTTTATCTGAGATTTTGGAGTCAGGGATACCTGTGTGCAAATCTGACTGTCCTCAACGTTGTGTGATCTTCAGCAAGTCATAAAACTGTAATAAAAATAACACCTACTTCATGGGGCTGTTGTGAGAATCAGTGCTTGGCACAGGGCTTGGTGCATATTAAGAACAAGACAAATGGCAATAGGTTTAAGACGTTCCTGTGGAAGGAGGTAGAGGCAAACTGTTTTACCTGAAAACAGGTGTGCTGGTGTTTTCTTGGGGATCTGGTAGCCAATTGAGGAAAGAAGTCTTGTGTGGAGATAGGGAAGGGACATGCACTCTTCAAAGAAAGAGGCTGGTGGGTGACAGCATAAGGAGTTTGATAAGGGAGCGGAGGGTGAAGAGGGAGGGGAGGAGCAGGATTGAAGGGATTAACAGAAAGGAAACTGTCCTGTTTGGTCAGTGTTTCATGTTTCAGAGAGCAGAGGGCAGGTACTATTTCCCAGGAGTTTGTATAGAGAAAGCAGTGTTTTATAGAGGGGCAGAAAGAAGACAGTATTTCTTATGAGTGACAGAAAGCAAAAGTGTTTCAAGACTGGAGTTGAGGGACTTTCTCCCTCACCTAGTGGCTAAGACTTCCACTGCATGGGTGCAGGTTCGGTCCCCAGTCAGGTCGGTTAGGGAACTAAGATCCCACATGCCACGTGGCCAAAAAAAGAAGAAAGAAAATTTCCTAAACTGAATAAAAATGAAAACACAGCATATCAACTTGAAAAAAAAAGATTGGAGGTGGGTTGGGTGAAATAGATGGGATACACTTACACTAAGAAATTGTTGGTTGGTTGTCTGAAATTCAAATTAACTGGGTGTCCTATATTTCTCTTTGCTAAATCTGGCAACCCTAAGTAGAGACAGCATTTTGGGGGAACTAAGATGAAATTGTTTCTTGGGTCACAGGAATGCAGGAGCATGGGTCTGGGGGAACGGGGAGGAGCTGAAAGCAGCATTTCACAGGGGTTGAGGCAGAAGATGGAAGGGTGAAGGGACAGATGTGAGGTACACACTGCTGCAGGACCTCCAAGGATGCAGTGGGGAAGGTAAGGAGAACTGGGAGGAGCTGCCTCTCCCATTGAAAGGACTTTCAAAGAGGTAGGAGGGAGCGCCAGTTTCTAGGGTGATGAGGGGAGATGGTTTTATTTCAGTGGGTGCTGAGGTTAGTCTGTGGGGACAGTAGTTCAGAGGTCTTTGGAGTGGGGTGAACCCCAAACCAGACTCTGGAATCTGTTCATGACTCTCAGCCCCTCATGCCTGGTCTCCTGAGATCTCAGCAGCTGGAGTGGTGAGCTCCTAGTGGCCAGGTGGGGCCGCTCCGTGTGCCTGACAGCCCACAGGCTGGACTGCAGGGCCTACTGTAGGGATGGCCCTCATGGGCCCTGGGGAGCACATTTGGGAAGAGATCAGGCTGGTGGCCAAGTCTGTGAGTGAGTCTGGCTTCTCCACCCGCAGCGGTGGGGAGTACCACAGCCAGACGGCTGCATCCTCCTGGCAAGGCCTTCTCTGAGGTGGGATGAATGGGCTCAGGCAGCGCAGGGCAGGAGAGGCTGTCTGCAGAGGTTCTGCTATGACCGCAAAGAACTTGTGTGGCTTTTATTTTATTTTAATACTTTAAAAAATTGTGGAATGTATCATCATACATGTGAAAAATGCATATAATGGCCATATGTATTCTGAAGATGTTGCTTTTTAGTAGCTGAATTTGATTGAATTGAATTGAATTGAATCATACTCTCATTCTACCAAATCATTTTAGTTTTTGATAATGAAAGGAAAACATGGCCATAGTAAAAAATGTGGGGGAAATTCTAAAAACTAAAAGGAAAAAGTAAAAACTCACCTATAAGTCTGCCATCCAGATATCTTGCTGTATCTACCAATCTTTTTGCATATGTATTTTATTGTTTTTAAAATTTAATTTACATTATTTTGATTCGTTTTATATTCTGCTTCTTTTACTTCTCATTATTTTATGAGCATTTTCTAATGGTTCCTTAAAGTTATCTGAAAAAGTTCACTTTTTGTGGTTATGTAAGATGCCACAATATACACATTTTAACCGTTTCTTCAATAGTTTTTATGATTTTCTTCCTTATTCCAAGGTTAGTTAAGCATATATCTATATTTTTATAATTTTTATTGTTTGAATTCCTTTATTTGACTTTTAAATCAGTCTGGAATTGATTTAGGTATATAGCATAATATCAGTTTCTAGCTCAATAATAAGTAATTTCCCCTCATATCTACCTTGAATAGTCAACCTTTTCCTATTAGTTTGTGATTCTTTCTTTATAAACTACCTTTATACCCACTAAAATCTATTTTAGTTCCCATATATACATCTATCATAATTAATAATTTGTTGATTATTAATGTATTTGTTGATTCTTACAACAGAATGATTTCATTTAATTGTTGTAGCTTTAATTTCTGACAGAGCAACCCTCTTATACTTCTTTTAAACATTTTTGAAGTTATTCTCTCTTATTTATTCCTCTAGGAAAACTTTAGAATCATTGTTTGAATTTTTCCAAACTCCCAGATATCATTGTTTTTTTTTTACCTTGTATCTTTATATTCACCATTAAAAAAAATCCCACACATTAAAAAAAAAAATGATGACTTATTTTTAACAAGATCAAAAATATATTAAATTTTTTTATGGAAAACTAGTCAGATTTAAATTTTGAATGGTCTTTTAGTAAAATTTACTAGGCATATATTTTTAAAGAACTTGATTGAGGTATGATTTTATACCAATTAACAGTCATCTATTTAAAGTGTACAGGTCAGTGCACACAATTCAGAGCTGTGCAGTCACTCACATAATCCAGTTTTAAAACATTTTATCACCCTAAAAAGATTCTTATTTCTTTTTGCAGTTAATCCTTGTTCCTACCCTGAGGTCCAGGCAGCCACTAATCTGCTTTCTGTCTCTCTACCATTGGTATTCTGATTGAGATTGCATTAAATATAAAAATTAATTTGGAAAAATCAAATCTTAATATTTAGCTTTCTCATCTGGGAGCATGGTATTTCTCTCTGTCATTCAAGCCTTCTTTTTTACTTTTTTTTATTTTTTAATTAAAAAAAATTTTTTTTGGTGACCCCTTACAGCTTGTGGGATATTAGTTCCCCTTCTAAAAGTGCCCTAATCTGAGATCTTTTCTGAGATTGGCTCAGAACTCTGGAGCTGAAGTATAGGAGTGTGGGGATATAGTCAATACCATCCTCTGAGGGGATAGTATTGACATGAGGAGGCTCTGCTGAATGCCTCTAGACCTCACAGTACCTTATGCCCTGCACATCCTGAGGATGATCGTCTCAGTACGTGGAAACTCCGCTCCCACCATCAGGGAGCTTTGGTTTTCAGAGCCTACATGAATATAAGTATTTTCTGAGAACTGTTAAAGGAAGGAGGGATTGGGGAGAGACATGATCGTTGCTTAAGGAATTATCTAATAACTCAAGGGGATTAGACTTGCTCCAAACCATAAGCTCAAAGAGGTTGTGGTGAGTGTTGCTACTGTAGGTTTCCAGGGATGAAGCATGGGGCGGTATGCAGTCACGAGGGAAGGCATCTGGAAAGAGGCCAGACTGGTTGGCAGCATGTATAGGATTCATCACTAGAAATACCATAGTAGAAAAATATCCAATACAATTTTTTAAATATAAAATAATGCCCATAATATCCTCAGATAAGAATAAAGTAATGGATGAAAGAGAGGAAGGAACACATTCTGGGAAGGACACATAGCCTGAAACAAAGGGAAGGTGGTAGGCTAGGCAAGGAACGCACACCTGCTTGTCCTAATCTTAATGCCTTGGTGCAGTTAAAGCCTGTCAACACTTTTTCTCTTCTGTGTCTTGCGTTCTGCTTTAGTTTGTTTAGCATTAACTGTAACATCCTTCAGGCTTGGGCGTGAGACAGAAAGGGGAGAGAACTAACACTTACTGAATATTAGCTTCCAGTAATGCTGGGTTAGATAATGCCCTCCTACTGAGGGCAACTAGTAAAGTAGAGCAAAATATAAAAATGTCTGCTTGAAGGCACTGGAGAGCTAACACAGTAAAGAATCGCTTTGCAGGATCTGGGAGAAGATGGGAATCCATAATGGTGAGCCCCAGCACTTGGCTTAGCTTTTGTCCTGGGGTTGTTTGTCACTCCAGAAGAGGCGAATGAAACACTCAGCAGTGTTGCAGACAGCCTCAAGGGACTTGGGAGACCACAATTGGAGCCCACGGTCTCAAGAGTGGTAGCCCTGGTAAACCGTCTGGTCTTTGAGTGGGGAACCCTGAAGGTTTGTACCATAGGATTAAGGGGACCAGAACAAATTACCCTCACAGGGATTGAGGCTTAACTCTGAGTTACCTGGGTGACAAAGAAATATCTCAGTCCCTGAAGTTAGGTTAAGGTGATTCAAGATACCTTGCCCCCCAGTGCCTGGATGTGCATGCAGCACCTGGGAGAAACAAACAGAAATCACCTGGAGGATGATAGCATCATCTTAAGCCTCAAACCATTTCTGAAAAATGTTTCAAGTGTAATACTTGGCA